AGAGTGAAGGTGAGGGCAGGTTTGATTTCTCCCGAAGCCCTGAGGACTGCAGATGGCCACCTTCTCACTATGCCCTGGATCTTTCTTTCCCTGCATGTCCTCTTTTCACCTTTTTCTTTCTGTATATCCAAAGTTCTCCTCATGAGGACACCAATTATAGTGGATTTCTGCCCCTGGTAGCCCCATTTTAACTCAATCACTTTAGTAAAGACCCCACCTCTAAACCCAGCACAGGCTGAACTACCGGGGGTTAGGACATGACGTGAGTTTAGGGGAATAGGGATTCTAATTCAGTCTATAGCAGTGGTTGAACAATAAGTGATCTGAGATTAGAAGCCAAAAGAATGAAGAGGAGTTCATGCTTTATTCATAATGAGAGTTCAAGGTGCCAGAGATTGGCCTGAAATGTGGGAGCTGCCAAAGGTGGAGTGATGAGGGTCATTGTGGCAAAAGGACTGGACCTGTCTAGGCAGACACTCGGCATCTGTCTACAGTAGCAGTGGATTAAAATAGGCTCCCTCAAAGGATCCGGGGTAAAGGAGGGGTATGCCCATTGGACCACAGCTGGGTAAATCACAAAGTTCGATATGAAACCAAAACCATAACCAGCTTTTCCCGAATCCCTTTATCAGGACTCAGTTCTCCTTTTGAAGGCAAATGGTGCTACAAAATGGAGTCGGAGCCCCAATGGTGCAGGTGGAGTAGGGAGCAGAAACAAACTTAAGTTGAAGACAGAGGAAGCAAGGGCTGAAGCACAAGTGCACAATGTCATTGTTACAGATGGCCTTCATGGGGCACACTGGTAAGCTAGTACTATAGGAGGCTGATGCAGGAGTATCTCAAGTTTTTATTCAGCCTGAACAATTTAGGGACCTGAACAACTTAGGGACTTAGGAAGACCCTGTCTTGAAATTAAAAACTTAAAAAAGGAGAAAGAAAGGCTGGGATGAAGGTCAGTGTGAAGGCTCTGGATTAAATACTCACTCCTGTGCGGGATACCGGGGAAACATGATGAAGGATTCGTAAATGAGCCCGTACCATATTGAGTTAGAAGATAAACAGGTATCACATTGAAACATTTTTGTAGTTATTTTGTTGAAGTTTTCTCATTGCATTTCCAAAGGTATTCTTTTCACCTTGCCTTTCTCTCTCTCCGTCTCCTGGGTAGCAGGAAGCACCCATTCTGTCGTTAGCCACTACAAGAGCATCACATCTTCTTGAGGCAGCAACCGCTTGATGCAGGCAGCCCTGCCTTGGAGGGCCAGCTCTGCAGCCCAGCTCTAAAGGACATTGGTGGAAACTCAGCCACAAGCCTTCCCCTCTCACTCCCTTCTGAACTCGCTGTGCCCACCGTCTCTCTTAGTAAACAGGCCTTCCATTTAAACAAGCTGCAGTGGATGCTGTTTTCTGCAATGCAGAACTCTGGGCAACACAACAACCATAAAATCTCAGGAAAGAAACCACTGGGCAAAGTGATGTGGACAGTTTGATCTGTGGTTGATCGCCATATGGCAGCCTTAACCACATAGTTAATGTACTCAATTTTGACCAAGTCAAAGTACAATACCCTCCCAAGAATAAAATGACTAGATGAGTGCCTAATGTTATAAAACTGGTAACTTAAGTGTCATATAGGATCCAGAAGGAAGGGAATATGAAAAAGAAATGTATTTGGCTTTTGAAACTTACACCTGGGTCACGTAAATTCCACATTCTAAGTATTCTTATAAGTATGCTGTAGATTTCTGGATGACTATCATAACATCCAAGTGAGATCATCCATTGTCTCATTCAACTATTGATATTGTAAAATAAGAATAAGAATACAAAGAAAGAGGGAGACAAGGATTGGGAGAAAAAAGGAGAAAGAGGAATCAACTTTAGAAAGTGGGCAATGGACCTGACAGATTATTTCCTCTTATAGTAGAAATGCTATGACTTCCATTTTTACACAAAATCACAGCCAAGGCTCAAAAATGCATAGTTGAGTAGTGGTAAAGGATAGTGTGTTTTTGTAGGGGAAGAAAGAGTGCTAGTCAGTTCACTAACTCTGTACTGAGCACCAACCATGGTAAGTCCCTAGCACTGCATGGGGTGGCAGGGAAACCTGTTGCAGGAAGACATATGGAGGTCATGGGTTGGGGGAAGCATAGGGTTCTTGACATACCAGGAGTCAGATTAAGGTGACAGCATTCTGGCTTGCTAAGAACAGCTCTGGCTTTGGCCTACTGCCATAATTTTATTGATAGCATGCTTTCACTCCCAGTGTCTCTCTTTGTAGGATAAATGATGTATCACTTCATCTCAATATGCCCCATAAGAAAAGGTGAACGATGACCACCCTCCTCCTTCAGGGGATGTTGATGGGAATAACTGTGGACTTTGTACAGACCACCCCACTACCAGCTACTTGCACAGGAGGAGGCATTGCAAGCCTTTGATGTTCTCCAGGTCAAACATTATAAGTGGGCAAGGTCATTTTTACAAATGGGCAAAGTCATTGCCTACTCATCAGTGAACACTGCTCTATATCTGTGGCTTTGTCTTTCTAAGTTGTGCCTTCTCAGAAACGTCCCAGAATCCTCTTGTGTTCTTTCTTCTCTTCCTATACTAGTACAAAAGTTATGTGACAACTGTGGGGTGGATACACCTGGACAGGACTCATATTGTGCCTTTCAGATGAGGTTTTCTCTGAGTTCCACTGGTATCCTGTTGTGATTAGGGAGGAGTGTTAACTCAGATGGCTTGGGATCTACCCAGGTAATTGGTGGAACACACTTCTGAGTGGGTCTGAGTGAGTCATGGAAGCGTGGCCATGGGGTCTGTATCTGCTCCCTCACTCCTTCACCCTGGCTCTGCTGCTCTGCTTTGCCTCCCAGTAGCCATGAAGTGAACAGCATTGGTCCACCGTGCACTTTCTCCATGACGTTCCTGACTATGAGCCAACCAACCATGGACTGAACACCCTGAGTGAGTGACCATAAGCTTCTCTTCCTTTAAGTAGTTGGTTTTGGGTGCTGTGCCTCAGCTGTGGGATAGTTAGTACAGGCCCACATCACTGTGCCCTGTGTTTCTCAGTCCCAAGTGACCCATTCTTTCAAGTCACCTGGATGTCTGCATTTGAGATTTATAGTTGGTATGGGAACTAAGAGTAACTGTTGGCCTTCATCATGACTCACATAAGCCAGTGTAGATTTTACCAAAATGTGTCCAAAGGGGTATACACTCCTCATTCTTATCACTCTTACAAGGACCTCTTTATTCCCACTGATTAGCCTTAAAATTACCAAATGTTATAAATTTTATGGAATAAATTTTACTACTAAAATGCATGTTCTTTTCCTTTTAGTCATTGGTATTCTCTTTAATAGAAAGAAAGGAGTTCTGCTGCTGTGCTTCAAATGTCACCACCACAATTCTTCTAATTTTATTATTTAAAAAATGTAAAAACCCCGTGAGACGGCATGACTTCCACAAGCAGTCACACAAAATATATGGTAAGTTAGTTCCCAAAGGAAGTTGTTTTCTGTTTTCTCCCTTTTCCTTCTTTATTTTGCTTTGGAAAAAAAGTCTTTGCTTATTTACACTTCATGGGAAAATCATTAGCATTTTGTATTTTTTGGTAGGCTTTTCTTCTTCCCTGGGAATTATTTTACATCTGAAAGGGCATTATTTCATTATTCCTCAATGAATAATGAGAAAGATCTTGGGAAGCCTTTTCGCTTCACACTGCTCCCTCCCCATCCTGCTTTGCCAGCCCACATATGCATAGAATGTGTGATTAGAGGCCAGGAACTAACTAGAAACTCTGTGGGCATTTTATTATTGGCCTCAAAGTCACCTGTATTCCCGAATGACAGCCACCCCTGCCTGTCATGGGTGGAAAGATGGTCCTTAGCATTGGCTGCCAAAACCGACAGGGCCACTTTTATTAAAGAACATTCTTCAAATGGATGTAATTGAACCTGTGAATGGGATTTACACACTTGAATTTTGGGAACAGTAACGATAAACACAGACTCACATTCACAAAATTATACAGGGCTGTACATACAAATCAGCGCTTACTTAATCTTTGAAAATAAGATTGCATTGCTTCAATATTTACCACACACTCCACTCTGGATAACTTCAACAAATCACTGCCACCAAGCTTAACTAAAAGTATAAACGTCATGCCCACACGGCCGCTTCTCCCTCCTGGTGGGAGGGGTGGGGTGATTTGCAGGTAAGGTATTTACAGAGTGTTTAAAATGGGATGCAAATGAGGGCCAAACATTTTTCTCCCATTGGTGCTGTAGTCTGGATAAATCACACCCTTTGGCATTTGCATTGATACAACAAGAGCATAGCATGCGGCACAAATAACCTCATTTCCATAAAACAGCCTTTTAAAATTAGAAAATGTATAATTCATTTGGGGTGGCTATTACTGCTTTGGGGAGGGATTTAGACTTGTATTTAAATGCAAATGGCAGTGTTTTTTTCTCCTCCCAGTTGCACATAGGAAGCCACACAATTTAGAAACTCCAAACTATACAATTACTCTTGACTATGACCTTTAGATTGGAATACTAATGACAAAATATATTTGTTTGGCCCGTTGCTCTTTGGGGCAGGCTTTCACTCTTCAAGCTGGTCCTGCACACTCCATGAGGAAGACTTCCCCAGTTTACACACGAGGAGACTGAGGCCCACGTCAAGTCAAGTGGCTTCTCCTTTCCATACTCTCAGAGAGAGGCAGATCAAGGACTTTCTGATGGTCAGATGGACTACATGGATATGTGGGGAGATGCAAGAATGGTCCTCAGGTGACCAGAATCCAGAATAGGGTTGGAGGTGAGAGAAGGAAGAAGAAGAAGGAGAGGAGAAGGAGAAGGAGAAGGAGAAGGAGAAGGAGAAGGAGAAGGAGAAGGAGAAGGAGAAGCAGGACGGGGAGGGGGAGGGGACGGAGAAAACTGGGAAGGCACAGAATACCTACACAGAAAGGACCAGGCACATTACTGGACAATGAGGATGCACTTTATTTGCCCCCTTTCTCTGAACCTGTCTGTACCGTATTCTGGCTTCCAGATAGTTCAGGACGAAGAGGGTCAGAAGGCTTCCTGGTCACTCCTAGTCAGCTGTGCTCCCTGTGTCCATTTAATTCAAGGTGACTGTCTGCCCTGTGCCCACCTAGACAGAGAGCTGTACATGCCCAGCCCCTTCCCAAAAGGAGCAGTTCCCTGGCTTCAGGCACAGCACTGCAGCTAGACAAAGGACCCTTGTTCCTGGGTTCTGGCTCTCTGGGACTCCTCAGATGTTCTCAGTGCACCCAAGCCTGTTCCTCACTGGCCTCATTCTGCCATCCTCTGCCTAATCCTCATTCTTCAAGTGTTCACTCACCCGCAGTCCTCTGGGAAAATGCTCCTAAAGCTTCTTCCACCAACAAGCACTCTAAACAGTGCCTCCATTTTCTCAGCAGCACTCGTCAGGGCTTCTGAACGCCACACTGGAAACCTTTTCTCCTCACCATCCTCCCCCTGGACTAGAGGCTCTGAGCCAAGCATCCTTCTGTGTATGTCCAACATGCAGCACAGAGAGCAAAAAATAGGAGTTCCACACATCTGTGTTGAATCCTACTTCTGCAGTGCTATCTGTGCGGCTTGGGACAAATAACTTCTCTAAACTTCAATTTACTCCTCCGAAGAAATAGAATGGCAAGAATAGAGTTAGGGGGGCCGGGGGGATTTAGCTCAGTGGTTTCGCCACCTGCTGTGCAAGCGCAAGGAGCTGGCAAGGACCGGAGTTAGATCCCCGGTACCCCAAAAAAAAGGAATAGAGTTAGGGGTAAACAAAGGACAGCTACAGCAATTACCATTGCTAACATTTGGTCAATAAATGCATGTTTGAGTAATAGAGAATCCTGCCTCTGGCATTGTCTTTTGGTTTTTGGTTATTAATGAAAAAATCAACTTAATTACTTCCACGAAAAATGTCCCCCAATCCCAGCCCCAATCATGGCGTTGTATTATCCAGTATGCTTTTCCAGGCTCAAGAATTTCCACAGTTCTTTCCTCTTGTCACCTTTGATGTCACTCCCGATATCAGAGCTCTGGACCAACATCCCTGGGGTATCCTCTGATGAGAAAAGGTTAGGGTTATCACTATTCTCCCCAGCCTGAATTTGATCCTCAAGTTGTTCTTTTCCTGTTGCTCACTTTCACATTGGCCAATGAGAAGGTTGGGAAAACTGAATTCCATTTTTCACACAGTTCATACTTCAGATCCTGAAGGGAAAAAAATTAAAAGGTTTCATCAGGGACTTAATGAAAAATACTTAATGTAGCAATGGAAACTGAAAAGCTTCTTGGTCCAAAAATAAGGAATGAAAGGCAATACCTACTTGACCAAGACGCTTTTCTTGTCTGAATCTTTCCTTCAGCATCTGAAATATGAGGGGCCGGAAGCTTCACCATCTCACGTGTGGGTTGCACCTGTTTCCATGGAGCATGCAGAACTGGGGAGGAGGCAAATGTATTGTCACAGACATGGTTAGAGGGTGAGGTTACAGTTTGAAGAACACTGCATAATGCTAAGCAATCCCACATGCAAGGTGAGACTTGCCCCATAGAAGGTGTGACTATATATATATTTTTTTTCCAGTCTTAGCATCCCATTAAAGGGTAATTAAAATAATAGATGCTTGAAAAGTTTGTGGTTAGAAGAGTTTTCAGGTTTGCAGTGCCCTGACTTTTGTGATGCAGCATATAACTAATATCCTTAAAATTATGTGCCTGACCTATATCAAACAGTACCAGTATGTTCTTCTTTTAAGCACTTAGTTTCCAGAAAATGTTAGGCACTCTCATTTTCTAAACCTTTCCCTAATGTGCCCACCTCAGAGGGTCTGAGAATCACTGGGACTGGGGGTAGGGAGCAGCCACTATCTAGGACTTATTTGGAATTTACAGTTCTGCTTTCAGTGGCTTGTGTCCTGTTCTAGGAAGAAAAAGTGAATCTGGACCAATTCCATCTCTGGCATTGCTAATTTTCACTTTTCTGCAATTATCTTTTAATGTATATGTAATATGTAATATATAATAATATATATAATATTTATATGGAGAGAGAGATTATATTTTCTGAGAAATTTCTTTCCCAGTTGCTGCTCTCAAAGCTTTGCAAACATTATTATGGGTACAACATTCTAGTTAGAGGTTATTTCCCCATTTTCAGAATGAGGAAAATATGTGCTAGTGAAGTGTGTGCATTTGCCCAAGATCCAGATATTAGCAATTTGCCTACGTTTAAGTGTACATCTGTTCAATTCTGTTTCAGAGAAAACTAAATTATTACATTCTATTTTCCATGATATCTGCAGTAAGTGTGGAAGGCAATTGATTATCTAAAGAAAAAGAAGAGAAAACATTAGACAAACTCATCTTATTCATTCTACAGGCATAGTAAAAATGTACAGTTTTTTAAGAAAGTAATTCTGTCTATTTGAAACTGGTACATATTATTCAAAGACAATTTAAGCTGAAACTTTAAAAACTATTTTAACCAGAGATCCCCTCTGAATTCCACGTGGTCCATGTGCATAGCCCATAGCTCCTAACACTCAGGCCCATACCTGGAGACCTGGGCCCCTCACTGCAAACTCAGGGCAGCGGACCCCTTCTCAAAACCAGAGAGAGAAATCAGCCCCAAGGCACACTCCCAAAGTGACTCTGAATGTCACTAGCCCCAGAATGCCACTGATCCCAAAAGGTTTATAGGAGGTGGAAGATTGGAAATCAAATAAAACCAAAGAGTCAGGGAATGAGTTGGGAAAAGGGTATTAATGAAGTTGGACAAAATTTCTGCTGAGAAAGTGACACCTGCTACAGGGCTTAGAAGAGCCACCATGACAGTGGGAGTGGATGAGAAGAGCACTCTTGGGTTTGTTTCCCATCCCAACAAAGCACTGAGAAATGTTTAACTGGAGCAAAAAACAACTGCGGATTCACAGCGTTTGGTGATTTCTCGGATGCACTGGTTTCCACCACGGTTGGCGCTGTCACCATGCCAGTCCTCACAGTCACCTGAGTCGACAGAGACGCCCACCACATTGACCCCTGGCTGCAAGGGGCAGTGGCTGTACTCTCCCCCAACTTATGACAAAAGGTGACAAACTGTAACTACAAGACATGAGCCTGGCTACACCTACATGTGTGTGAGCTCAGCCATGGGCTCTCACATTCATCCTAATCACTGAGTGTCACTACACCCCAGGTACAGCAATAGGCCCTGGGGGTAGAAAGGTCAGGAGAGGTGGCCCACGGCCCCTTCTTGCTGGTCAGTCTCATTTAATGGTAAAGCAGAGAACCCACAGCGGATGGCTTCAATACACTGTTTGAATATTTGTCCATGTTCACAGCTTGCCCTTTCCTCAGTTCTCACTGCCCTACATTCTTCATGCCCATGTTTCCCAGCTTAGCTTCCACTGATACCTTCTCTACTCCCCTCCCGTCTTTCTCACCTGCTTCAGAGTAGAACACGGCTGACACTTCTGACAGCATCCAGGGGAGTAGCAAAGCACACTTGGCAAGCGTCACGTCACGTGTTGTGGTTAGCAAGCTCCAAGTAGCACATCCTGAACGATTCCATAACGCAAGCTCAGTTATCATCTCCATTTTGCAGAGGAAAAACACTGAGGCACAGGATGCCTAAACACCTCACCTAAGACCATATGATTATTTAATGACAGGCTTAGAGTTCTGAACCAGAATTCCAACCTCCTTGTAACCTTACACAATGTCTGCTAGGCCACTGACCTGGTGGAGCGATAGTCCCACTGGGGAAAGTGAGAATATCAATGATAGTGCACCAAACTCGGACTTGGGGTTTGAATCCCATTCTGCTGATGAGTCACAGAGGCACCCTTCAAAAGCCACTTCCCTTATTGAGACCTGAATACCTCATCTGAGAAACAACTTTGTCTGCATCTATATCAGGCTTCCTCTGCTTCCTCTAGTTCTTCGAGATGTTCTGTTTCCTTGGTGGTGGGACAGCCAGGGTGGGAACTCATTTTTCTCTGAGCCTGAAGCCTCTATTCCCAGCACTCTTAGAGCCCCCAGATAGCCAGGGTAGAACACTTACTTCGCTTGACTCTGCTACCTCTGTTTATTGTATGTGCAGGACCCATGCTCCCCTGTTTTCTGAATTTTCTTCTTCCCACAACTCCCCGGGTCAAGCCTGATCTCCTGTAGAGCCTCCCACCAAGGCTGGAGATGCTGAGGGAATTTTGAGTCACTCATGAAGCTCTCTCTTATCTCTGCTGTCCCAGAAGTGAATATTTTTACAGTAGCCTGTGCCAGGAGCTGAATCCTGTCATCCCTCCAGAGCTCCTAGTTGGAACCCCCAAATCCCAGATCCTTAGACTGTGACTACATTTGGCTGCAGGGCCTTTAAAGAGCTGATTGAGTTAAAATGAGTGAGAGTAGACTTTAATCCAAAATGAGCAGTGTCCTTATAGGAAGAAGAGATTACGACATGCAGAACAACCACATGAGGACCCAGGGAGCAGACAGCTATCTGCAAACTAGAGGGGGACTTCAAAAGGAACCAATGAGGAGGATGCCTTGATCTTTGACATTTCAGCCTCCAGAACTGTGAGAATATAAAATGTCTGATTTTGAAGCCACCCAGCCTGTGATACCGTGGTATAGAGGCCCTAGTGGAATAAAACAGACCAAATGTCACATAATCATGCAAGATTTAGCTTGGCAAGAAAATTGGTCTTTCTAAATGTAAACTTGGGTGGCATGTTGTAATCAGTTTAAATAAAATGCAGATACCCTCTCTACCTGTCAGATCCTGGTACAGATTCAAGAGGGCACAGCAAAGCACAGTGAACTCTCCTGACGTGGGGGTAGACAAAAGTAGAAGAGGGAGCTCATGTCAAGAAGACAGTCAGAGGTCCCACATTTTGTGCAAGACACCTTTGGTTTCCTTGTGCCAAGGGCTGTCCTAAGCACTGGTCAGACATCAGCTCATCCAGATCTTATTAAAGATAAGTCACAGCCATGGTGAATGACGTATGTAGAAGGAAAAGTCTGCCTGATAATATCCACAATCCACTGAGAAACCTGGGTTTGCTAAGACTCTAGGCTTCCTCAATACCGCATTACAGAGACATAGCTCTTTATCAGGCATCACAGAATAGCCCAGGGCCAGGAAGGAGGCTGAGCAGTGTGTTTGTGGAACTGACGGGACTGACTGACATTAGTTGCACCTTGCAGAGTCTGAGAAGGACTCAACATGGCTTGAGAGCTGGGCCTTCAAATAAAAGTTCACTTTGATTGATGAAGGAAAGGAAAGGGCATGTCTGTGAGTCAAAACACAGAGCTGGCCCTTGCAGTGATCTTCAGAGAATGTTGAGCATCCAGTGGGGCTGTGTGGGCAAGATGTGAAGAATCTAGGTTCAGGAAAGCTGTGGCGTCTCTGGGTGTGGATCAGCTTTAGCTTCAAATACTGGACTCCTATCCTGAGGCTGCAAGTTCTTTCTCTTGCCAGTGGTGCACTACAGAAAGTCCAGACTTCTTGATTAGAAAAAACAAATGCTAGGTATTTAAAAATTACTGTGCCTTTGGCCAAGTCACTTCACTTCCAGGCTGCATTTACCTATTGGTTAATGAGACTCACCCCACTTCTGGTGGGTTACTATGAAGGTTACGAGGAACAGAAGCTGTGAAGGACTTCAGACATTCCCAGGCAAACTGTTGGAACTTGCTTAAGTGTTAGTCTGCTTCCTCACCTTCTCCTTTGCCTAAGCATCTTCCTTTATCATTTATGCTGGCTTGAGTTGAACAGAATCGAGATCTGAGGTTGCCCTCTGCCTGCCAAGTGACTTTGCTTGTAATTTTAACAGAGAAGCTTTGCTGTAAGTACTTCTGTCCCATCTTCTGATTTCAGGTTTCCACAGTGAACACCTTCAATCCTTTTGGGGTCTCTAGATACTGCCAAATGTTCAGGTCTAAATATAAGTTGTGGAGACATTGTCCTGCCATCATTTTCCCAAAGCCATTTTGATGCAAGATACTATTTCATGTGGCCTTTGTGACATTGCCCTGAGCTTTCCTGAAATTCTCCTGGGAGTCAAGTGTGTGATTAAAGAGGAGGGGAAGAGAGGAGATGGAATATGGATCAAACATGGGTTGCAGATGCAGTAGCTAACCTGGCACCTATTGGGTATGACAGTAGTCCTTTTTAAAATTCCCAAAACTTCATGTTCATTTTTAGGGTAACTCACAACATTCCTACACCTTCATAGTTCTGTAAAATCCCATGCAGCCCCATTATTTTTATTTGGCATTCTGTGACCATTAGCATTGACTACCCATTTTTCCCCTTCCTCTTCTGTTTGGAGCACTCTCAAGTTCACTTACAAATTTAAGAACCTCCACCCAGAAAATGCATTTTAAATGCTGAGTTTCAACACATATCCGAGGTCGAAACTATTACCATAAGTACTGACTTGTACCTTTTGTGTTCTGTTTCTCACACACACCCTGGGGCAGGAAGGTGGCTCATGGGCACCAGGGTGTTGTCTTTGAGCTATAGGAGGAAGGCAATGACTAACGAACCAGTGCTGCCCTCTATAGAAGCTACTTCCTGGCTCAGTCCAGCTCCCGTGTTCTTCAGAAAATGCTAAACACGCCAGTAATACACAATGAGCTTCTCACTGTGAGGGTTTCAGAATAACTGCTATCCTGAAAAGCAGAGCCTTGTTTTCATTCATTCTATCATCACATTGTGTATCTATTCTTGCTTCATCCAGAGCTGAGCTGAATTTAGTTTTGGAGTGTCCAGGGCAATGGCAAAAGCTACTTTTTTGGCCCTTGCACTTGCACAGCAGGAGGCGAAACCACTGAGCTAAATCCCCAGCCCAAAAGCTACTTTTCTTAACAGATATAAATGTTACCAGGTTGAGGTTGATTACTAATACAGTAGTGGGATTTGGGTACTTCTATTAGGTTTTTTTTAAAAATAAAAAAAATTTTATTGGTACATTGTAGGTATGCAATATAATGACATTCATCATTGGAGATTTGTACCTTTACATAATATATCTTGATTCTTAATTTTCCCCATATCCTGGCTTCCCTTCAACCCCTCCACCCTTCCCTATTTACAAAATCTTTGTTTCCATTTTCTCATGTTAATTTCATTCCCCTTTCCTTTCCCCTACCCCTCCTACTTCCCCTTCCCCTTTGTACCTTTTCTTCCTATGGTGTTGTTGAGCCTTAGTTTCCCTTTGTAATGTCATGACAGCTGTGCATAATCCACAGCATATTTCAGACTGTTAGATGAGATAATGCATCCATTACCTTAGGGCAGTATTGTTTCAACCCATATCTGTGATATCACCCCAAGATGAGTAACAAAAGCTTCCAACCTAAAGCATTGCCCAGAGAAATTATCCAACACTAGGCCCCAAGAAAAGAAATGAAGAGACTAGGGAAAAGCCATGAGAGTGATGGCTAGATCAAAACTGGATCTCTGAATCACATCACCTCCAGGGATCACACATGGAGAATGATCCTGACAAATAGGCACGTGACCAACACTGTGGAGAGTCTACAAATGGAAGTTTATTTTATTTTTAAAATACTGAAATGGGTAGTCTAAATCAGACAGCACTTGCAAGCACATGAAAATTGTCATAGAACATAAAAGGTGCCACCACAATATCTAGGAATGAAGAAGTGGCCTCAATGGGTGAGGAATAAGAAAAACAGACGGTTACTCAAAATTTAGAAGGAATTTCTTATGTGACGACCTCCTTCCACCTCATACAAAGCTTCCTAATCCAAAAGTTTCACCTACATTATTGAGTCACGCATCTTCATATTTTACTTGTATCCTCTTAGGCAAATGAAGGCATATACATGGTTTTACTCAGCAAAAATTCTCATGAATAGCTGAATAGACATCAAAAGTGGGTATGAATCATCTTTTATCATTAACCTACATTAATCTGCTGAGAAGGCTTTAAATAATTCAACTCTAATTTTCCTGGGAACAAGTTCAATGAGCCAAGTGCTCTACTGTACAATGTTAATGTCTACTCAATGCGTGTCCTCAAGAATGTAACTAGTAATCAGTCCATTTCTCTCCTACATCATTAATTTCCCCTTTAGTACTGAACCAGTTTGATTCAAGTTATACATAAAATATTTTCCATTAAATAAATCACCCACTTGATTGGACATCTTAACCTCTGGCTATCACCTCATTTCTTTCTCTCCCCATTATAGTTAAATTCTTCAAAGAGCAGTTTACATTCACTCTCCTCCAATCCTTTCCTTCTGCTCTCTCTTGAACTCAACTTTATGGGAGGGGGGCACAAATCCACAGATATTGCTCTTATTCATTCACCCAGGTCTTCTTATTTCTCATTTCATCCTTACTTTTCTAACTACTAAGAAGGAGGAATCCCATCACACCTCTTTAATGCTCCATTCTTATCTCTGGTATCTAGAAGCAGCGTCTTAGAATATGGGTTTCAAGCCCAGAGAGTACTGAGGCTGCAGGAAAAGGCTGCAGGAGACTCCCTCCAAAGAAGGTCACCTGGGCCACTCTCAAACCAGC